TGCTTTCTAAAATCCCACCAGTTAAAATATTTTGTTTTAGTTAGCTATGCATGGTCCCTTTCAACTCAAACTGACTAGCAATTAGTGTCAACGAATGTTAACTTCTTCCCATTCCTATAATAGTATTGTTTAAGAGAAGGCTGGCTAATCTAAATATATCTATGACATTAAAGTCCAGGTTCCTAATGCCAAGTCCCGCAGACTTCCTTTCATATCATGACTTCAGACTTGCCCTCATACTGACTTAGACTAGAATGTGAGTGAGTGTTAGTAGTGTCATTGATAGGTAATGTAAATGAGTGATGACTAAGATATAAAACAACAGGGAATGGTGGAATCTGTGTGAAAAAGAGAGTGTGCACCCTGTCTGAGTGGGGAGTCACTGCTTAGTCCCAGCATATTGTTGCAATGAAGAAATGTGGGAGAAGCCGGCGAGAGTGTGAGCGGTCCCGTTGCGTTTGGAAGATTCTTCAATCAGTATGTCATCCAACACAGATGTTTCTCTTTCTTCATATGATGAAGGTCAGGGAATCTAAATTTATCCGAAAAGCTAAAGAGGCACCATTTGTCCCTATTGGAATGGCGGGTTTTGCAGCAATCGTTGCATATGGATTATATAAATTGAAGAACAGGGGAAATACTAAAATGTCTGTTCACCTGATCCACATGCGTGTGGTAGCCCAAGGTTTTGTTGTGGGAGCAATGACTCTTGGTATGGGCTATTCCATGTATAAGGAATTCTGGGCAAAACCTAAACCATAGAAGAAGAGATGCTGTCTTGGTCTTGATAGTGTTTGCTATAGTTAGACATCTCATATTGAGGTTATATGTTTATGTTGAAAATAATCATTTGAGAGGGTCAGACAATAACACATTAATTTGAATATTGGCTTCCTTTTTTGCAGGCTTGATTTCCCAGGTGACTAAATTACTAGTGACTAGTTCACTAGCTAGGTCATTCAGGGGAGTCAGGTTAGCACATAAGAAATGCATTCGACGTGGTAAAATGTCCACCTTGTTAAACTCTTCTGGTGAAATTAGTTCTAAGCAAGAACTACATGCCAATCCTGAAGTACTCCCAGTTGCTGCAGAATCTCACATGCTTTTGATGTTATGTAGGAATCCTATTTGCCCCAGTTACTTTGACTTTATTCTGCCTGCCTTGTGGACTGAATGAGGAGTTCAGTTTTTAGGGTTGATTGGCTCTTAAAGAACCCTTTCAGAACAGTGCATGGCATATAATGTTACAAACCTCCCCACAACTGATTGTGTGTGTTTAAATCAAACCTAACATGCTGATAACAGCTGCTAGAAGGTAGTATTTATTTTAGAGTCACACTTGTAAATGTAAAATAATTATGGACCCCAGTTTAGCTCTTTTCTAATTGCAGAATTATATTTTTGCTGCTGTTATATTAGAATAATTTTTACATGTCACTTTGAAATAGATATATGTATTTTAAGTGCCAACACAAAGGTAATGAAAGACAGTTTTAAATATTTGCTGTATGTTCATTTTCTCTGTAAGAATCATAAATGTTAAACTAAACAAATACCTATAATGGAAATGATGACTGATTCAAGAGCAAGCTCTGGAAAGACATTATACAGAAACTTTGATGTACTACAGAAGGCTTTATTGCACTTGTGAAATTCTAACCTGAATTACATTCCATGGTGATAACATGGTAAATGTATTGTTATTAAAGTAAGTGAACATGTCAAAAAAAAAAAAAAAGAAATGTGGACTCTGCTTTGCCAACTTCTTCCAATTTTTCAAGAGAGGCTGGGAATCCATATTTTAATATAAAATGTACCAAATTTTAAGCATGTCTGTGGCTGAAAGTGGCTTTTGGGCTGCCAGTTCATGGCCCCTGATCTAAATAAACAGGAAATGGAGACAAATGAGAAGCCTATTTTTGTTTGTTTGTTTTGTTATTTTTTAGGAGAAGCCTATTTGGACCAGAAAGAGGGAGGCAGAGTCAAAGGGGAGAAAAGGACAGACAAGAGGCACAGAAAAGAAGATGGAAATCAAATTTCACCAACCTTAAAACCTGACTTAGGGAGCCCCTATCTACCTGTCTTTTAATCTGAGAGCAAAAAGGAAGTGATGACAAGAAGGAAAAAAAGGGAAGAGAAGGGAAGAGAAAAAGAACTAGCTATTGAACACTTACTAGATGGAAGATACTGCATCTGATGCTTTTACATATGGCAAAGCAAGAAAAAAAAATCATACTCATAGGGAAAAGAGGGAAATATAACAAAATCATAACAGTTGGTGTGTCAGATTTTGATACCCCCTTTTCCATTCTTCATAACTTTCAATCATAACTATAGTATGGTTTTATTATAACTTCATAATAAAAAACAAATTTTACTAAAACTTAAATTAATTGGATTTCTGGGTAAAGATCCACCCATCTTAGAGTGTAAAAAGTATACTACCATAAGTCAAGCCGAATTATGCCCTATTTAAGTAGAAAAAGAAAATACAGCAATTCCAAGTATATGTTATATGTAATTTCCAATTATAAAACCAGAAGAAAGAGAACATGAAACTATACAGGCGATGTAGATCACAGATTGATTAAATAAGAGCAGAAATATGTGAAATTGTTAAGCATGTTGTAGATCATTTTCCCTCAAATTACAGACTACCATGATGTTCTTGTGTGTGTGTGTGTGTGTGTGTGTGTGTGTGTGTGTGTGTGGCCTACATACTATAAAATATACTGAGTCCTCTCTTCTGTAAAAACTTTCAGACATCGCCCATCTGTTACATACTTTTCTACATTTACTGCATTGTTTTCTTTCATTTAGGCATGTATTTTTTCTTTCTTTTTTTTATTGATTTCAAAGAGGAAGGGAGAGAGAGAAAGTCTCCTGCATGCCCCCTACTGTGGATTGAGCCCACAAGCTAAGCATGTGCCCTGACAGAGAATTGAACTGGGGATCTCTTGGTCCATGGATGGCGTTCAACCTATTGAGCCACACCAGCCAGGCTAGATATGTATTTTTATTTAAACAATACTTTTATTTGTCTTTAGGGTGTTTCAAAGATAACAATACATTTTATTTTTCTAAATGAAGTATGTCATCCCCAGCCACTTGGGTTCTAAGGAATAAATCCCCAATTAATCTCATATATATATATATATATATATATATATATATATATATATTCATTTTATTCATGAATGAAACCCTAACCTAAATACTTAGAGTGTAATTTCAGGGGGAAATTACTGTTCAAGAACCTAGATAATACATCCCTCTGTTAATACTAAATATAGTCATCTCAAGATGACATACATTTTCACAATGATCAGTCTTATATATCAGATTTTCAAAAATAGCACAGATTCCATTGTAAGGTGAGTAGGAAAAATTGCTATTTCAGTTTTGAATGGATTTGAAAGTGTGAATCTTCTATTAAAACTGAATTACAATAATACTGTACTGCAGGAAACTGGATTTAAACTAATTTTTTGTGGGTTTTGCTTAGGGCTCTTTAAGGGAGTTGTTGCAGATAAATTATAGAATTGTACACATTTTTCTTTAAATTATTCCAGTCAAAATATAAAATATCTTCAAAAATAGGGGCCTAATACCTGTGAGGAAGAATCTCAACTAACTACATTGAATAATCAAAGTTCACTTATACTAAATATATTTCCAAAAAAACCCTGTCCCTAAATTTGACTTATTATGCATTTTCCACCTTATCATACCTCAAATCTCAAAAGAACTTCAGAGACTTATGTGTATTCTGAGGTTTTTTAATATGGAAGCAATTTAACCTGTAGGAGGATTAGGGGGAAAAATAAATGTGGCTCACTCAATGTTGCGTGACTAAGATGGTGTAAATACTTAAGCTTATTTAAACACACTATCTAACACATAGTTATGTTGTGACTCGAAAGCCAATGGGTCGGTAACATGAATTCATTAACAAAATTTAGCTGATGAATGATGCTCCCATTGCTTTCCTCAGGGAACGAATTTCTTCCTTATAACGGCTTGCTTTTTTTCTTTACCTGCCTCTTTCCCAAGGACAGACATTTTGTTAGGACATGGCCTTATGCTATTTTTACCTTGTTCTTGTTTCTCTCTCCCTCTCTCTCTCTCCCTCTCGCCCCCCCCCCCCCTCCGTCCCCCGCTCCCCCAGCTCTCTTTGTTCAAGTTATGGACCTTTAATAAATATAAAATAAAGATCTCAAAGCGACTGCGATAATCAAGTCATCTCTCGACTTGTTATTTTCTTTACAAATGCCAACAATAATACATTTTTAGCATTTGTAGAGCGTTTCACAGTCTACACAACTGGAATGGTTTGGCGTTTTCAAAAAATATAGACAAGGCAGGTTTCAAGAGGTAACTACCTGATTCACTCCAACTTCTCCTTGCACAACCCCCAACATCGCACCCCGGACGGAATCCGAAAAAGAATCCCTTGGCAGGAGCGGTGGGGGATAGGCTGTTAAATCACACTTCACGCCCCAGCGTCCGCAGGGAACGATCAGGAAAGATCTCTCCGAAAAATGACATGCACAGCTGGCGAGATGGAGACCGCGTCCAGGGGACGCGGCGGCGGACGCCCCTGAACTTTACCTGCCTGGACCCCACGGGTAGAGCACAGGGACTGGTACCCGCCGCGCGCACGGAGGCTCTTCCCCTGCAGGAGTAGAGAAAGCACCCGAAACTCAACGAACAGGGTGCCACGGCGCTGAAACGGGGCGGCGGGGCAAGGAAACCGCCACCGGGGCCGGAGGCCAGGGGACCGTGAGAGACAGTGAGGCTGACCCAGCTCCGCACTCGGCCGCGGCCGCCCTGCGCGTCGGAGCGAGCCCGGTGCGCTCGGGGCCGCGTCGGAGCCCGGCCAGAAGCCAGGCGCGGGGAGCTCTCCCTGTCCACCGCACCCCGCCCCCCCGCCCCGCTCCCCCGGGAGACCCGACACCTCCGCCACCCCCGCCCCACGCTCCCCCCGCCACTCCTCTCACCCTCCTGGAGCTGCGACCAGCGATGGCCCTCGTGGCGCGTGGAGAGGCTGCGCGCGTCCTGCGCCTGGGAATGGGCGAGGGTCTGGGCGCCGCCGCCGCCGCTCCTGCCGCCGGGAGCCCTCTGGCTGTCGCCGCCGCCGTCTCCAGCAGCAAGTTTCCATAAAAGTCCTGGTGCGCAGCCTGTTCCCGCATTCCAGGCGGGCCCAGCGCCGGCAGCAGCTGTTCCAAAACACAAGGCCAGTCCCCCCAGCCCCCACCTCCGCCGTATCGCCCGGAGGGGGGTGGAGAGTCGAGGAGGAAGGCCGGCGACGGGGGCGGTGGCTGCCAACTTTCCGCCAGAAGCCGCCTGTCGCCCGGCTCTGGGTCTCTAAACTGACCCCTTCACCTTGCGTCGGCCTCCACCTCCCAGGGGCAGGGAGGCTGCCTTCCCGGTGGGAAAGGGGCGATATTGGAAAGGAACAGATAAATAGGCCGAGCTGGCCTCCCGCTGCCCTCAGCCGGCGTGCCCCGGAGCCCCCTTCTCGCAGCTCCTCTTCCGGGCCAGCTTTCTAACGCGGACTGAGAGCAGAGGGCAGCAGCCCGGGGACCACTTTATCCTTGGTTGCTCCCCTTTTCTTGGCTCTGATCTTTAACTCCAAAGAGAGTAGTCGATAGAGATAAGTGGAAGAAGAGAAGGAGGGGGGGGAGGAATAAAAGGAAGTAATTACATTATCTTTCTTTAATTGAACCCAGTCATCTCTGGCCTTTCTAAACCTACATAAGGGTATCTGGGAATCTTAGCACCGAACGACCTTTTCTTTTCTTTTCTTTTTTAAAATATATTTTATTGATTTTTTACAGAGAGGAAGGGAGATAGAGAGTTAGAAACATCGATCAGCCGCCTTCTGCACACTCCCCACTGGGGATGTGCCCGCAACCAAGGTACATGCCCTTGACCGGAATCAAACCCGGGACCCTTGAGTCCGCAGGCTGACGCTCTAGCTACTGAGCCAAACCCGCCAGGGCCCAAGGGCCTTTTCAACCTGAACCACAAGCTTGCCAGTTACACCCATCAAGCAACCCACATGAAAACCGGAAATGCTCATCCAGAGAGGGCGTTCATTCTGGTGGGAGAGATCTTCAGTTCTTCACTGATGCTGAAAGTGAATATAAACAAAATAATTTAAGAATTGAAGCCCTGGCCTGTTTGGCTCAGTGGATAGAGCATCGGCCTGTGGACTCAAAGGTCCCAGGTTCGATTCCAGTCAAGGGCATGCACCTTGGTTGCGGGCACATCCCCAGTGGGGAGTGTGCAGGAGGCAGCTGATCAATGCTTCTCTCTCATCGATGTTTCTAACTCTCTATCCCTCTCTGTAAAAAATCAATAAAATATATTTAAAAAAAAAAAAAAAGAATTGAACTAGCCTCCACACAGATAAACCAGGGACAACCACTTCCAACGTCTAGCACTGAGCAGACAACAGGTTACATCTTCAGGGATGTTGAAAAAGCATCTGCTCTTACCTCTAACTTTTCTTCTCCACCCCATCCCCATTCACTATTTACTCAGAATGAAAATTTTTTTGTGTAAACCACCCCTTCTTCAATTAAAGTTCTAGGTCGGTAATTAAAACAGCTATTGGATGATCTCGTTCGCCCCCTTGCGCTCTTCAATACCGTCACCTTGACCTTCAGCTCATGGAACTCTACTTGGTCATTCTGGCTCAGGATCTTTGCACAGGCCGTTCCCTCTGCATGAAATCCTCTTTCCCACACTCTTTACCTACCTAACTTCAACATAAACGTTTGCTGTCCTCTTAAATGTTGCTTTCTCAGAGGGTCTTTCTTTCACTCCAATCTATATCAGTCTGCTCTGTTATAAACTCATTCCACCCTCTTCCGTCCTATACTCATCAACTTATAATTAGATTTATTTTTATGATTTAAAGGATTAGAAGCTCTCTTCACTGATATCCTCTAAACAGATTCACCAGATTAAACAAAGTTCTCCATTCTAACTATAAAACTGATAGCTATCCGCAACATGCAACGCCCATTATTTCTCCTAGCAATTCATCATTCAGCCAACAAATACCCAATTCTAGATACTGAGAATACAGTACTGACAAGACAAATAAAAAGCCCTGCCGTTATGGAACATACATTCTGGTGGAGGAGGGCCGGCAGTAAGCAAATAAATGAACTAGGTAGTACTGAGTGATATGCAATATGGAAAGATCAGAGCAAGGAAGCAGGGAATGCTGGGAATGGGGTGGGTGGATTTTGTACTTTTACAGAGTGGCTAGGGAAGGTCTCAGATGAGTAGAAGTCTTGAGGAAAGTGAGGCAGTGAGCTACGTAAATGGCTGGAGAATCTGGGGGAAGAGCAGTCAGAGGCACAAAGGTCCAGAGGAGGAGTCTATCTGACTTGTTCTAGGAAGAGCAAGGTGGCTTGTGGGGGTGGAGCTGAGTAGGCAGAGGGTGAAATAATAGAAGGTGGAGTGGTGCAGGAGGCGGACTGTGGAGGACCCGTTTTGTAACTTTTTACTGAATAAAATGAGTGGCCCTTGGTGGATTTTGAACAAAGTAGTGTCATCATCTGACTTGTGTGTTTTTTTTTTAAATATTAAAGTTTATTACAGGTCACTTAAATATATATATAATTGATTTCAGAGCGGGAGATAGAAACATCAATGATGAGAGAGACTCATTGATTGGCTGCCTCCTGCATATCCCCCACTGGGGAGGATCCTGCAACCTGGGCGTGTGCCCTGACTGGGAATCTAACTGAGACCTCCTGGTTCACATGTCAACACAACCACTGAGCCCTACCAGCCAGGCTGACCTGACAGTCTTAACATGCTCACTCTGGCTGATGTGCTGCAAATACAGTAACTGCAGCAGGGAGACCCATTAGGAGGGCTCCACGATAATCAGGATGACAGGGACGGGAGTCTGGGCCACAGTGACAGCTGAGAAACGCTCGGCACATTTGTTTTTCTTGGTACATTTTTTAAAAAGTAGAACTAGTAGGATTTTGGTAACATTGAATATGAGGTGTGTGGAAAAGACCTTTGTGGCCTGGGGATCTGGAAGAATGAAATTGTCATTTCCTGGGATGAGAAAGATTGGGAGGAGGAGGCTGAGGCAGGTGTGGCCAGGAGCTCTGTTTTGAACATGCTAAGTTTGAGAACACATTTAGAAACCCAAGATCTGCCGATTTGTAAAAACACATTTATCATGAATTTGTTGGTTTTGTTCTCAAACTTGGTTATATCAATTGCATGTTATTGAAATTACATAAACATTACAAAAAGAAATATAAAAGCAAAGAGAGTTAGATCAGGTACAAGATTATTAAAATCAAGGGGAATCGACACTCATTGCTTTCAGGTAACATTTTTCTCCTTTAAAAGTAAGGGAAACTGGAAATCCCAGGTGATGATTTACAGATGTAGTTTTTGCAACAAAGTTATCTCAGAATACCAAGTGAATCCACATTACAAATAAAGATCTTGACCCTACATCAAAAGATCAGCCAAAGAACGCAGTTATTCCTTTAAAATCAAAATATCTACACTTTCTATGTGTAATTTATGATTTCTGGCTGTGGTATCCAGCCATCAAAAGGACCCCAAATGATCCTGCCGCCTAATCTTCACGTCCTTTGTAATCTCCCCTCACACTGTCAGGGATGGTCTGTGATAGAATTCGGCACAAGTGGTGGTATGCCACTTCCAAGTCAAGGTTATGAAAGATACTGTGTCTTTTATCTATCTTGTTATTTTTTGAGTTATTCACTCTGAGGAAAGCAAGCTGCCATGTTTTAAAGATATTCAGGCAACTGTTAAGAGGCTCAGGTGTCAACGGCTTAAAGGTCCCTGACAACAGCCACACGATTGAGCCAATCCTGGACTCAAATCCTCCAGCCCTAGTCAAACCTCCAGATAACTAATCTCAGGAGAGACCCTCCGCTAGAACCACCCAAACCAGCCATGCCTGGATTTCCAACCCTCAGAAACTGTGTGAGATTATGTTTGTTGTTTTAAGCTGCTAAATTTTGGGATAGTTTGTTATGCAGCAAGAGATAACGAATACCCCTGCTTTAGCCTATTTTGAGAATTATTTATCTTCTATCACATTAAGCACTCAGTCCTCTTTAAAGTCCCAGGGCCTATTCTCTCACAGAATGTTACTAAGTAATTAGCAAAGTTCTGGAAATCATATCATTCAAGTGCTTTCAAATGTCAAAGTGCTCCTCTATATTCAAGTATTATTTCAAACATAGCAAATTATAAAAGTTCTAGAATTTCCTAAATATAAATGTACATTGTGAAAGGCTCTGTGAAACACATAAGAGATGGTTCAGAGCAAAACACTGAGGTGGTTTTTGATGTACCAGTTACTTTGCTGTGGCTTTCAAGTAAAAAATAAAAAGTGTCTCACAGAAGAAAAGTTTGCTTTTTTTTTCTGTACTGAAATCAGTCCTTTCCTGCTCAAATGATGAAGGATACCTAAGGTTTTTCACTGTTCAGGTGTAGGAAAAAAAGGACCTCAGCAAAAGAGCTGTGTGGCTGGTGTCAGTAGCATAGGAGAGATTAAAGGAGAAGTGGCAGGGTGGATTACAGAATACAGGGTATAGAGAGAAACACTACATAAAAAATAGAAGTCAAAAGCAGCATAGGAACTATAAGAATGAAAGTGGATAAACCGAGTTTACAAAAATTTCCAGCAAATCCCTAGAAATAGTGTAATAAGACACTGAGATGCTTGTAGAGAAATACTGTAAACAGAGAGGATGGCATGAGACAACAGTGTATGGCAGATGACAAAAAACAAACAAAAAACCCGAAGATGAGATTGAGATTCTGATCTGGTTTCTCATTCTATTTCCAACACAATACCCTAGCTAGGAAGAGAGTCCACTCATATTTGTATGGTTTGCCTGTTAAATTATACTCAGTTTGTTTAATTTAATAGTTTAAAATATAACTACATACATTTATCTATACATATTTAATTATCCTAAAATAAACTTTTAAAAAATATGTTTTTATTGATTTCAGGGAGGAAGGGAGAGTGAAACATCGATGAGAGAAACATTGTTTTGGGTAAAGAAATCGTGCCTTGTTTTGTGGACTAGTATGGTAACTTATACTTCGGTTACTCCGCCTGTAAAATTGTGGTAGCCCTCTATGAGACAGAATTTAATTTAACTAAATGTCTCAATACTAAAAAGTAGTGGGAAAGGGAGATGTCTGAATAGGGATGGTAACATAT